TGAAATACAATAATATCTGTGATGAATTTGTGGATAAAACCTTTCGAGATATCTGGATTTATATGAATATTTACAGTGTGGTAGAAATTGTTTTTTTATAACGTCACACTCTCAGACATATCACAGAAGTGTACAGTTTAAGATGTCATATAAATTGTATTTTGAACATTAGAAATTAATCAAGGACATCTTCAATTACTTAAAATAATTATGTTTAAACGTGTTTGATATATTTAAATAAATTAATTCATGCTACATGTGAAAAAGGCTTGCCATGACTGACTACAATAATTTGTTATGTTCGGCAATATTTTCAATTCATGTATATATATGCTACAGTTGCAGTCCCGGATGGGACTCAACCCAACAAAATGACTACAATCTGCACTTTACTGAAAAAGTGTAATCCCACATATAACATGTGTTAAATTTGACCACTTTCTAAATGGCATTGTGTAGTCATAGCTTCCGGCCGTTTGAGCCGAGCCAATTTACACTTGTCAGAGGGGCACACAAAGTCCGTGATTTAGACTACCAGTTGTCCGACTTCCATGTTTGTGAAAGCTGCGATGGCTGAGTGGGTTAGATGGCTGACTGTGTGTGTGCTGATGATTAGGTGCCTGACTCTGAGAATGCGGGTTCGAATTCGGAAGGGACTCAACACAACAAAATTACTAGAATCTCTACTTTACTGAAAGCATAGTCCCAAATATAACGTGTAAACTCTAACCACTCGCCAAATCCATCTCACCATGAACAGACCCTGACGTTAATGGATCAGTACATTTGCAATACGATGCATGAAATTTAACGCATCTCTCAGTAAAAATACAAATGTTGTACACATTTTATGTTCCAATAGGATCCACAATGGAGATAACTAGCTCCTTGACCTTACCTGCGATATCTCCATAATTGTTTACACGGGTACTAGTAATTGCTCGAGCCGCTTGGAATTCATTGCTATGGCAGCAAACTATAAAAGGAATTAGAATAAAACATCTCAGATCATCATCTTGGAGTAGCCACCTGTTTGATACCAGTAACAAGGACTTCTCACTCACAGGTGTGAAAGAAAGGAGGTTCATCTCTCCTGTGCTGTAGAGTTTACCTTATACTCTCTACAGTAATATCTGCACTCAGGAAATGCCAGCAGTATCTGGTATTGGCTATTTACAACATAACAGGTCATACGTAATCTCTGTTTATTGGAAAGACATTTATCTAATAAACAGAAACTGTTAATGTTATAGAAATAGTGATGTCACACCAAACGCTTGGATGTTTGGTTTGTTGTGTACCGCCGCACTATTCAGTATGTAATGTAATGCCATACCAATAATCGTATCTTCATTGGTTTAGCCCTGCTGCGTAGACAATACAACATTAAACTTATTCTGACTTGCATACGTTACAAGAAGTTCAAAGGACATTCAGGAGATGCTCACTGACAGATTACCTCAGTCACACACTTTTGTTAGACATACCAACAAAGCGACAAAACCGTTTCCCCATTCATAGGAAATCTCTGTTAAACGCTGAGTCGAGTGTACAATTGTGACTATATCACAATCATATATTTGTTTGAGCAGTATAACAGATGTACGATGTTGTTTTGCAAACAAGCTGAGTCTGGACCTTACAATTACAGTGATTGTCACCATTGACACAAGCATAACAGATTGTACGATGTCACACTGTACAGTAACTGTGCCCAGCTCTACACGTACTGTACAATGGTACCCAGTCACATTGTACCTTTCCCACACAATTCGCACTGTACAGTAATTGTACCCAGTCACACTGTACAGTAATTCGTCCCAGTCACACTGTACAGTAATTGTACCCAGTCACACTGTACTGTAATTGTACCCAGTCACACTGTACGGTAATTGTCCCGTCACACTATACAGTAATTGTACCCAGTCACACTGTACAGTAATTGTACCCAGTCACACTGTACAGTAATTGTGCCAGTCGTACTGTACAGTAATTGTACCCAGTCGCACTGTACAGTAATTGTACCCAGTCACACTGTACGGTACTTGTACCCCAGTCGCACTGGACATTAATTTGTACCCAGTCGCACTGTACAGTAATTGTGCCGGTCGCACCCTGCACAGTAATTGTACCCAGTCATGACTGTACAGTAACTTGTACCCAGTCCCACTGGACATTATTTGACTCCAGTCGCACCTGTACAGTAATTGTACCCAGCCGCTCTGGTACAGTAATTGTATTCCAGTAGCACTGTACAGTAATCGTTCCCAGTCACACTGTGTATTTTTCCCAAGTCACACTGTACAGTAATTTTCCCCAGTCACACCAGCATGCTTTAACCCAGCCACACTGGAGTGTACTTGTATTCCAGTAATGTACAGTACTTGTACCCAGTCACACTGTACAGTAATTGTCCCTAATCACACTGTACATATGAATTTTGTACCCAGTCACTGTAAAGTAATTGTACCCAGTCACATCTGTGTACAGTAATTGTTCCCCAATCACACTGTACAGTACTTGTACCCAGTCACACTGCACAGTACCATTGTAGCCTAGTACTGTACAGTACTTGTACCCAGTCACACTGTACAGTAATTGTACCCAGATCACACTGTACAGTACTTGTACCCAGTCGTAACTGGATAGTAATTCTGTGCCAGTCACTGCTGTAAAGTAATTGTCCCCAGTCACACTGTACAGCAATTGTATGCCAGTCACACTGTACAGTAATTGTCCCCAGTCATCACACTGCAATACAGGTCCCATTACCTGAAGTCACACTGTACTGTAATTGTCCCTCAATCACAATGTACAGTAATTGTACCAAGTCACAGAGTAATGTGAAATTGTACCCAGTCATACTGTACAGTAATTGTCCCCAATCACACTGTACAGTAATTGTACTGAGTCACACTAACTACAGTACTTGTACCCAGTCACACTGGACAGTAATTGTACCAGTCGCACTGTAGAGTAATTGCGGCTCCAGTAACACTGTACAGTAATTGTACCCAGTAACGCTGTACAGTAATTATACCCAGTAACACTTTACAGTAATTGTATTCCAGTAACACTGTACAGTAATTGTACCCAGTAACACTGTACAGTAATTGGAATTCCAGTAACACTGTACAGTAATTGTACCCAGTAACACTGTACAGTAATTGTACCCAGTCGCACTATATAGAGTAATTGTACCCAGTAACACTGTACATTAACTTGCACCCAGTCGTGCTGTACAGTAATTGTACCCAGTCACACACTGTACCCAGTACTTGTATTGCCCAGTCGCACTGGACAGTAATTGTACCCAGTCGCACTGTGTAGTAATTTGTGCCCAGTCGCACTGGTACAGTAATTGTACTCCAGTCAACACTGTACAGTAATTGTACCCAGTCTTTTGCTTAAGTGTACAGTAATTGTACGCAGTCACAGTCACGCCACTGTACAGTACTTTGTACCCAGTCGTACACACTGTACAGTAATTGTACCTCCAGTCACACTGTACAGTAATTGTCCTACTAATCACACTGTACAGTAATTGTCACACCCAAGTCACACTGTACAGTAATTGTACCCAGTCACACTGTACAGTAATTGTACCCAGTCGCACTGTACAGTAATTGTACCCAGTCACACTGTATCTTACTCACACTCAATCCACACTATTCAGTAGTTAAACCTTGTAACACTGTACATTACCAGCTCCGTCAATCTGCAGTCAGGGAGGTCGTGGTAAATGTGGTTGATTATAGTATGTTCAGATGTAATGATCAAATGATAATGAATCAAAGGTCTATACTGTGTTACTGAAACTGAATACTTTGATTTCACCTGAGTACAAATTACTAACACACACACGGCCACGTCCATCTACACAAACTCCGAGCGGGCACAAGACGCCATCATCTGCGAGTGAGTATGTTTCTGACAAACTGTCCTGACTCAGTCAGATGAACAACAGTATGTTGAAAGCAGTCAGTAACCAGGATGTCACCAGTGCTGGTTCTTGTGATACCACGTGGACTTCCCAGCGTGTTGTGTGTCCTGGTGTAGGGTAGGTGAACACAACGTCCCCTTCAGCTGTCAGGCACAGGACACGCTTCGAACAGCTATCCGACACAAGGATGTTTCCTGTTCTTGTTGTACAAAGAAACTCAGGAGCATGCATAATTTCCTTTCCACTATCTATAGGTTTAATTGACTTCAGGACGTTTCCTCTCATGTCCAGAATATCCCACATTTATCACTATCAGAACCTGCTGCTAGTGTTGACGGTGTCAGGAGACGTTATACCCATGTACTGTTTGCTGGTTGTGATGGTCGACAGCAGCACCAGGTCAGGGTTCACTTCAACTGTTACAATCTGTCTTATACGGCACAGTGACACCTGGTTATCTTTCAGCCTTGTTATACCCACGGTTTACCTCCCAGGCTGAGTTTGCTGTGATGTCGCTGTTTGTTCCTGGTGTAGAAGGACTTCACGCACATTTGTTGTAGTCTGTTACAACCACTGTGTCTGTACCATTCACCGGCAATACTGTTAAGTAAGCATGGTATACATTATTCTCATCTCCAGCTACCTTAAGCGCTAATGGTGTCCTGTAACACAGGAGCACCCTTCAGGTCCAGCACGTTACTGGTGTCTTGAGATACAGGTGTTGCCTTCCAAGTTCACCATACCGTCATACTGGACATCTATCTTCCCCAGCTGTAGATCGTCCAGAGCTCTACTCAACATGTCTTCGTTCTGTCTGAACATGATCCTGGCTATTCTACCCCTCTTCTTCACGTCGACGTCTCCGACAGCCTCCACATCACCGACCTCACATCCCTGGTACATCTCATACACATCCATGTCACACTCAGATTGTAGAATCTGGTCTATCAGCTCAGTCTGTTGCCGGTACATGTGTACTGACATTTCAGCAGACTTTAGGTCGGCTGTCAGTTGTTCAATGTGCTTTTCAGAAACTTCTTTCAGTTCATCTAGAAGTTTATTTTTCCATGAAAGTTATCTTTTTCTCTCGCGTTGTTACCAAAGACTTGATGTCATGTTCCATTCTTGCATATCGATCTTTCTCAGAAACGACGTTCACTTTAACAGCATCAACTTTGGCTTCCATTTGGATTTGCTTCTTCCAAATAGTTTCCTTCTTATTCAACAGCTGGGACTTTAATGCAGGTAATTCCGACTCCAGTGTGACAACTGACTCACATTTCCTGTGATAGATAACACAACAGGTGTGACAGGTGACTTTCTTGCAATCTTTGCACAGGAATTTGATGTTTTCATCCTTGTGTTCTTTACACTTAATGTTTCGTTTCCTGGGGATAATGGCCTCACTAGTCAGGGCAGTTGTATCGTGATGACGAGTAGATGAGATGCGACTGTGTGCCCTAGCACATACATCACACAGGGCGTCATCGCATACCGGGCACCACACAGTCGCTGGAGTTGTCTCCCCTTCGCGATGACAGCACGTACAGTTCTTTGTATCTGGACAAAGAAACAAGGTTGAATGAAAATCATTCAGCATCGTATCATGGAGTGTTTGTTCTCACGTAGTAGCTATTTAAGGGCGGTAGGCTAGCCTTGTAGTCAATGCGTTCGATCGTCACGCCCAAAATCCGGGTTCGATTTCCCAGATGGGCACAATGTGTGACACCTATTTCTGGTTTCCCCGTCATGATATTGCTGTAATATTGCCAAAGGCGGCATAGAACTTAACTCGCTCACTCTATCTGTATACGTAATTGCACAATTTGTTGTGGTTTATGAATTATTGTTACTAGTAATTTTAGTGTAAGCTACCTCACAACACGATATATTAAACAAAGATATCTGCAAGACTGACTTCAGATTTCGGGAACTTGAATGACTAGTTTGACATAATGAAAAATGAGGTATCATTTGAACCCTAAATACCCTACCTTTAACTTCAACCAAGATATTTGGAAAACAGCTATGCAGGACCACTACATTCATGAGTATTGTGGGGTACAAATTCAAATTGAAATGTATTCATACCCTTGACCCTGTTATGACGGCGTAATGCACTCGTTCTGTAAGTTTGAATTCTGATATATTTTTGTGCTAATGTTGGATGCAATAAATGAATATTTAACGAATGAATAAAGGTATTATACGGGACACCATTTAGTATTCTCTCTATATATATACGATAGTAAGTGTTCATTTCAAATGTTTGGACATACCAGCGCAACCACAGCCGACAAGCCTCACAGATTTATGTGTGTGTGTGTGCGTGCGCGCGAGCGCGTGCGTGCACGTGTCTGTGTGTGTGTGTTCTGGAGAAAGACTGAAAATTCTAAGATCAAGGTCTTCTGCAATCAATTTTTATTGTGCCAACCCTGGGAGACAAGAACAGCCTGTTGGGGTGTCGTCTTGGGCATATACCCCAGGTCACTAATCAGTCAAAGTTAAGCAATGTTGTACACAGAGAGTCCTTGGATGGTTGATAGGGTTTGTTTTCAGCTTGCGTGATCTCGGTACTGTGATGAAGTGACGAAGATGAAACACATTTGTTTCCGCCATTTATTGTGTAAACTTGGCGTCCAAACAATCACACTGCTTCCGCCAACTACGTGGACGTCCAGCTTTCGTTTGATACAAAACGTTAATGAAGACGACAACACACCCGCCATTTACACCAAGAAGTAACAATGACTCGTGCACTTGGCACATAAAGCGGTGACTTCGATATCAGCGCTCATTTGCATAACGAAAGTAGCTAGGCTGGTGTCAACTGCTTGCGCCAACAAACGCGACTCCAGCTGTGAATGTTTACTGTCTAAATATTTTATTAAATGTAGAAATGACAGCCCTAATAGTTTTCCATCTTGAGTCAATGTACCGTTATGTCCACAGACCGAGAGTCACCTAAGATTAGGCTGTACATATCGATATACCCGACTCCAGCTATGAATATTTACTGTCTAAATATTTTATTAAATGTAAAAATGACAGCCCTATTAGTTTTCCATCTTGAGTCAATGTACCGTTATGTCCACAGACGATCGAGTCACCTGAGATTAGGCTGTACATATCGATATATCTGTACATAGTGAGAGTAGACCACGGAGCACAGAGGGAAGGACCTGAATACTAAGACCATTATCACCGTATTTCTTCACACCTTGTCGTTTGATCACCGCGTAATTACGTTGCTATACCTGGTCATGGCTAGAACTGTAGTGTACATGAAGTCTGGCAAATACCGTCTGCACGTTTACTCAACTTCATTTCCCTCGTTCCAGCCAGTCGGTGAAGGGTGAGGTTGAGCCCCATAATAAACGGCTACTGGTCAGCAACGACACACAACACGACGTAAATGCACCCTCCGAGAAGACACGAGGGGGGTCAGGGTTCACGATGTCAAGTATACAACACGATAAAAGCACATATACTTCTGTCATTGCTTACGTTCATTTATCTCTCAGTCATTTCCTCCCAATGTACGACTTTTGAAACTAATTTGACATATATTTTTTTTCTAGTCTGTCTCACAGTCCCTGAACCACATTATTTTCCCTACAGCCGAGCCTTCCCTGCAGTGCTAAAAAAGAATTGAAGCAAGCTTAGATTTCTAGTTAGTCTCTCATAAAGGTCTTTCATGTATCACCAGAGGCGCTATCAACAGGTGCATTTCCGTTTATTATCGCGTATGCAATGGACTAACCTAGATTGCAAAACTCATTTCTATAACGAAAGTAGGCTGTAAGAGATTGCTTAACAAATGCAGTGCCACTTGACACTATACACCCATACTTTCTCAAAACTGTATCGTATGTGCCAGATATGATAGGCATAGTAATTAACTGACGTCAGTGCTTCGGTAAGTCCACACACGAACTTGTGTGTGAGATGAGGGTAGTCGGTTCCCTGTACATAATGAAAGTAGACACGTCAACACAGCACTGGGAAGGTCACACACAGGAAACATAACACCATGTCTGAATTACCACACACACGAAACATAGCACCAAGTCTTAATTACCACACAGGAAACATAGTACCATGGCTGAATTACCACACACAGGAAACATAACACCATGGCTGAATTACCACACACAGGAAACATAACACCATGGCTGAATTACCACACACAGGAAACATAGCACCAAGGCTGAATTACCACACACAGGAAACATAACACCTGGGCTGAATTACCACACAGGAAACATAGCAACATGGCTGAATTACCACACGCAGGAAACATAACACCATGGCTGAATTACCACACACAGGAAACATAACACCATGGCTGAATTACGACACACAGGAAACATAACACCATGGCTGAATTACCACACACAGGAAACATAGCACCAAGGCTGAATTACCACACAGGAAACATAACACCAAGGCTGAATTACCACACGGAAACATAGCAACATGGCTGAATTACCACACACAGGAAACATAACACCATGGCTGAATTACACACACAGAAAACATAGCACCAAGTCTGAATTACCACACAGGAAACATGGTACCATGGCTGAATTACCACACGGGAAACATAGCACCATGTCTGAATTACCGCACACAGGAAACATATCACCATGGCTGAATTACCACACACAGGAAACATAACACCATGGCTGAATAACCACACACAGGAAACATAACACCATGAAGCTTAATTACCACACACAGGAAACATAGCACCATGGCTGAATTACCACACAGGAAACATAACACCATGGCTGAATTACCAAACACAGGAAACATAATACTATGGCTAAATTACCACACACAGGAAACATAACACTATGTCTGGATTACCACACAGGAAACATAACACCATGTCTGAATTACCACACACAGGAAACATAACACCATGGTTGAATTACCACACAGGAAGCATAACACCATGGCTGAATTACCACCACACACAGGAAACATAACACCATGGCTGAATTACCACACAGGAAACATAACACCATGGCTGAATCACCACACACAGGAAACATAACACCATGGCTGAATTACCACCTGGGGAAACATAGCACCATGGCTGAATTACCACACACAGGAAACATAGCACCATGGCTGAATTACCACACACGAAACTTAACACCATGGTTGAATTACCACACATAGGAAACATAACACTATGGGTGAATTACCACACACAGGAAACATAAAACCATGGCTGAATTACCACACACAGGAAACATAACACTATGGCTGAGATTACCACACACAGGAAACATAACACTCAGTCTGAATTACCACACACAGGAAACATAGTACCAAGTCAGATTACCACACACAGGAAACATAACACCATGGCTGAAATAGTAGACACAGGAAACATAACACCATGGCTGAATTACCACACACAGGAACATAGCACCAAGTCTGAATTACCACACACAGGAAACATAGCACCATGGCTGAATTACCACACAGGAAACATAACACCATGTCTGAATTACCACACACAGGAAACATAACACTATGGCTGAATTACCACACACAGGAAGCTTAACACCATGGCTGAATTGCCACACACAGGAAACATAGCACCATGGCTGGAATTGCCACACACAGGAAAACATAACACTATGGCTGAATTACCACACACAGGAAACTTAACACCATGACTGAATTACCACACACAGGAAACATAGCACCATGGCTGAATTGCCACACACAGGAAACATAGCACCATGGCTGAATTACCACACACAGGAATCTTAACACCATGACTGAATTACTACACACAGGAAACTTAACACCATGGCTGAAATAGTAGACACAGGAAACATCAAACCATGGCTGAAATAGTAGACTATAACCACCGTATTACTTTCACACCTTGTCCAACAATCACAGGTAATGAATTGACCATAACCCGACATTGGAAGATTTGTAGTGTAAGTGAAGTCTGGCAATATCCCCAACACGCCCACTTACCTTCACGTGCTCGTTCCATATACGGGTGATGCAGATGGAGATTGTACCACGTGACGAATATCTACTGATTAGTGACGGGGTCGGAGGTATCACGGGAATAAACACGATAACGCACATAGTTTCTTCGCACCTCTTTCATTCTGCATGTCCTGTCTTTCGATTTTGGGATCATAAAACTGATTTCAAAACATTCTCTGGCCGTCACGCCAGAGGTCGGGTTCGGAGCTCAACATGGGTACAATGTGCGAAGCTATTTTCTGGTATTATTACAGATGTGATCTGTTTGTGGTGCCTGATATCTGTAATGTCTGCCTCTTTATCTTGTTGACGATTCAGTTGCTGGTGATCTATAGCCCGTTTTTATATTGTAGTGTTGTCTATAGTTATATTTTTTATGATAACATTACTAGTTTTATATTTTAGAGCTATGGTACACTAGTAGTTTTACTGTCCTTCGATGGCAGATTTTATGTTCCTAAATTTATTGATTTTAATGTTGATATAAATTATGTTGTTCTCGTCACGAAATGGCTGAAGTATTGCCGATGTGACGTTAAACTTAACTCACTCACTCACACTCTTGTTGACGATCTGCAATATGACAGGGCGAAACGACTTCAAACCTCGTTCGTGATCAAAGCATGTTTTTAGTTGATATCTGCACTGATACAGGTCCAAGACTGTGTGAAACCCCACGCACAGGAATGGTGCTGAGATACCTCATAATTGGACACAGCAGAATTCTGGCATGCACAAGGGATGCAACTCTACGAATAGCGGTGCTTCCACGGGATTGAGTCGACCACGGCCAATCAAAACTATTAACAAGTGTGCGAAGTGATGATTGTCTTTGGGCAATTTGATTCTTTGTTGACAACAAAAATGTTTTGTTTGTTTTTGTTTTAGGTTTTCTTTGTGTGTGTAATGAAACTATGACAGAAAAGTCACTGTCTGCCTTGAACCACAAATCTGAACCAACAAACACGGGGGCTCAGTCGACTATGTACTCTGCAGAGTTGTGTCCAATTGTGCGTTCGAATCTCCACTTTTCCCCAGTTAAGTTTCTATATGTGTCAGTGCCATACACGTGTTCCTGGGTTTCACTGAGATCTGCATTACCTCGGGCTTTCCCACAACTACGTCATAACTATTACTAGATTACTGTTGAAAACTCGTAGCACCAAAACTCACTCACTCTCTGACCAAAATACATTGTACATGAACATGAAGGGAGGATTCAGAATTACTTTCTCAGATCAAATTTATATCATCAAATTTTAATATTAATCGTTCTTTCTTTCCTAAAAGATGGTACGAGGATAAATTCCTATTGGAAATCGAGTTATTTGACATATTTTGTGTAATTTCTATGCCTGAGAAAAACACCTTTTCTTTGAGATATATCAAGACAGAAATATCTTTGTATTTTCACATGTTGATTTACTTTGGTCATAGCTATCCATCATGCACTATCTAAACCCCCATGTCACCAGACATGTTCTTGAATGTTGATTACATATAACACAATTATAAATCTAAAATCGTTCCAATGTTTTGGGTATGTTTATTAGAGCTAGTAATATCAGGAATGGTGTCAAAAGCTTTCCACTTTTATCTTATATTTGATTAACTATAGACACCAAAAAACCTTACATATTCAAAGAAATCTATACTAAAAGCAGAAACTATAGCGCATGAACTGATATTCAAACGGTTGGTGGTGAAAACAATGCAAAAATTCTCCCCTTAATGTAACTGAAAGCTCACGCCGAGAAAACACGACTCGATGTGGGGCGTGAATCCGTGTATTGTCGAGCAGATAAGCGGAGAAGAAAATGCCCTATAAACATTTCATTATAAATATAAATCACAGTATGTTTGGTATCACAGTAGTATCACAGATTAATTAGCATGTATATTATGAGAAAGAAAAGGGGACAAAAACTGAAAAACATGTAACGCATGATCACACTGAACAATAAAATAAATATATTAATAACAAACAGTTTTCCCTGAAATATTTCCATAGATAATGATACTGAGTTTGTAATAGAGATTCGATATAATAGGTATGTTCTCCATGTGAGGAATGAAAGGTATATCCATAACATTTCATAATTATTCAAAATTGACTCACCCGTCTATATGGAACAAAAGCAACGCCTTTACCTCCCTGCCCGACGGCAACGTGATGATAAACCTTAGTAACTTACAACTTGTGGTCAAATGTTCATATATCTTCACGCATCCACTTTCATGCAATGCATTTCTCATTCTTTGCAGCCATTATCTGCAGCGCGTACATTCTACACACGAGATGACTTGTAAAAGAATTCATATGTGAATAAAATGAGAATACAACATTTGGTGTGAATACTTTACTGCCCTAGAAACCAGTTTAGCTAAGAAGCATATGTTTACAGTTTTAAAGAGTGCTAATATTAATGACTGAACTTTTAGCCTAGAGACAGTAGCTTAACTTCATCACTAATGCTAGCCTTAACCTGACAACTGTATAAACCACATTTTGTTGTACAACCATATATAAACTAACCTGGTGACAACTCTGGTTTGGCCTCCACATACTCGGATCAATGACAACAACAAGACGCCACGAAGGTATGAAATCTTATTGAGAACAGATGAACTAATCAGCCAATCAAAGATCCTCGAGTATTATTATCACAAAGATTCCACTAACACGAAATGCGTGATATGCATATTCATCCAACCTGACCTTCACAGACAACAGGTGGAAACAAGGAATACCATTAATAATGCCAAGGCACAGCAACACAATAAAGGAAATAAATGTTTTCCTTAACTTTTTATTGACTTTTTAAAATAAACAAAACTTCTATGTATAAAAATACGGTGAAAACGTCGCTGCTGCATTAAAGGATCCACCAATACCTGGGCTTCTCGTAGATCATGCAGATTTTTGTTCAACAGAAGTTGATTATGTTTTCAAGTATGATTAAAGTATCAAACAGTAGTTAACTAAATTTGGGTGTATTAAATGATGATCATAACCTGCGGGGATGTTACAACCATTACCTCTCTGCTGACTGTCAGGTTGGGTCGTTTGATGTTGACTGTCTAGGTGAGTTTTTCGCTATCTTACCAGTTTTGGCCAGTTGGCTTACTGAATGGGGTTAGATTGTGTTCTGAAATGCCTGACTTGGAGTCTCTGGAGGGTTCAGAGTTACTTTTGTAGATCAGATTTTGATAATTAACTATAATACTTGCTTTGAATCGTTTTGAAATGTCCCATAAATGGTCAAGTTATTTGATATATTTTTTGTCTATTTTCTATGACTGAAAAATGTATTTCCATGATATATCCCAAACAGGAATGTTAATTTCCGCTGTATTAGAGATTTACTTTGGTCAAAATTAGATCGTTAAAATGTCTAAAGCACCCGAGTGTTAAATGTTGATTGCATATAACACGTCATCATTGCTAGTACATCTAACATCTTTGTTCATCATGCTTATCAACAAAAGAACGTCATTTGTCATCTTTCATCAATCCCACACCACTCGGTGAATCCATCTCATCATGTGAGGTATTTTTTTTGAAAAGACGACGGATGACATTTTGACACATCTCATCACTAAATGAAAATATTGTACACATTATTATTGTTCCAAGAGGATCCACAGTGGAGATAACACGCGCCTTGAGCAACCTGCGATATCAACATAATTGTTTACACAAGTAGTATTGATTAATCAATTCATTACCAAGGCAACAAACTATAATACAAATTAGAATCGAAAAATGTCTAAGATCATCACTGTGGAGTAACCACGGATCTATAATTCTGCCACATACGTCTGTTTTTGATACCAGTAATATCACAATGATTTCTCACTGTCAGGTGTGAAGAAAGAAGGTTCGTTTGTTGTGCTGGAAAATATACCTTAGACTCACTACAATGATATATGCTAGGATACAACTTCCATGATATCTTTGGTTTACGTATGTTTACTTCTACATTGACACTAAACAGACACGTAAATCCTCTTGATATTTGCTTGTTGGGGAGTCTCTTGATACCATTATTTCTACTCTTTGCAAAAGCCTTTGTGGTCGCTATACAATGGACTTCAGAAATGCCATTGTAGTCTTCTCATAATGACATAAACAAAAAGCAAAAGGTAAAGAAACTTCGACAATACGATAGGCTGCGTTGTATTGCCACACTCTGATGTTTTTACGCTGGGTTTTATAATGCCAAAGTCGTTGGTAAGAGTTCTGTGTAAACAGTTAATGTTAAAGAGCGAAGTCATTCAACAGTTAAGGGAAACGACTGCAGTATCTTGTGTTGGCTATTTAGAGACGCAACAGGGCATTCTTCATCGTTGTTTATTGGAAACACGTTGATCTAAAAACAGAAATAGTTAATGATTGAGAAATAATATCTTCACATCAAACGCCTGTATGTTGGGTTTATTGTTTTACCGCCGCGCTGGCGGCAGTCTGTAAATAATCGAATCTGGCCCAGACAATCCAGCGATCAAAAGCATGAACATAAATCTACGCACTACGGATACGTTGGCATGAATCAACCACGTCAGCGAGTCTGACCACCCCGATCCCTTTAGTCGCCTCTTGCGGGAAGCATGGGATGCTGAAGACCAATTCTAACCCAGATCGTCACTAGTGGAATCAGACATCAATCCTAAGTTAAAGTAAAGGTGAGTAGCACATACGCGGAACTGATCATCATGGCAGAATAACAGTCTAACTTGAGGATCAAAATTTAGAAATTCAGAGCATGGTGCAGTAGACAAAGTCAAGTCAAAGTGTTTATTGTATTTAAAGCCTCCGGCCCATATACAAGGAGAATACATGATATACATATATAAATACACACAATCATACAAGGAGAATACATGATATACATATATAAATACACACAATCAGCCACAAGGAGAATACATGATGTACATATATAAATACACACAATCATACAAAGGAGAATACATGATATACATATATAAATACACACAATCATACAAAGGAGAATA